TGCTGTTACTGTTATAGTGGTGTACACATGTGGTTAGTCTGGTGTTGCTGTTACTCCGATTACGTTAGTATCTATGTGGTTAGTGTGGTGTTACTCTAATGGTAGTGTGTATGTGGTTAGCGTGCTGTCGCTATTACTGTTATAGTGGTTAGTGTATTGTTTCTCTAATGGTGGTGTCCACATGTAGTTGGTGTGGTGTTACTGTTACTCTTATAGTGGTGTCCACGTGTGGTTAGTGTGGTATTGCTGTGACTCCTATTACATGTGGCTAGTGTGGGTGTTACTCTTATCGCAGTGTCCACATGTGGTAAGTACGTGGGTAAATAGTTACTTTAATATTAGTATCCACATATTATGGTTACTGTGGGGGTTCATAGTGGACTCTAATTTTTCACATCTTAAACCAATGCATGTTATTTAGATACGATGCAGCCATCTTTTCGAGTAAGCGAACAGAACAACAAACAAACATAATAGCTTTCATGTCATATGACAGAAAAAGTGTGTAGGTGTGGGTGCGGTGTGTGTAATAGAGGGTAAGGGGACACCCATCTACCTGAGCATTACCTAAACACTTTATTATGAAATTACTAATGCCTGACGACCAGGGGCGTAGAGAGGGGTGCGGGTGGTGCGGACCGCACCGGGTGACACCATTTAGGGGGGGTGACACCAAGGGGGGGGGGTGCAAATCGAATAGTTTGAGGGGGGGTGTGCAAATCGAAAACTTGAGGGGAGGTGTGCAAATCGAAAGTTTGAGGGGGGGGGGAATCGAAAATTTGAAAGTTTGTCCCTGGGAAGGGTTGCTACGGCCTCTGGGGGGGGGGGGGGGTGACACCATTAAGTGCCGCACCGGGTGACACCCGACCTCGCTACGCCCACTGCTGACGACCCCTAGAGCAATCGCCGATACCAGGTGTCTCAATATCATGACACAGCTCATGGGTCAATTGAAGTTGTGTGTCTTGTTCCGATGAATAGTGTGTTCGAAACCTTTAGGTCGGGCGGTGGATTAACTTTGAAGATCTGAAACCCGACCTCGAATCTGCACAGATGTTCACTCTAGACAGTTTTGGTTTCTTATTAGAATGTGCACAGCAGGTATTTTCCTCAGCTGACATAGCTGATGTGGTCCGTGTTAGAATTTTAGGGCAGTCCATCTGTTAGCACAAGTAGCCCATGTGTTGGCATTAATCAAAACAATGAGCCGCATGTTGGAAATGTACCAGACGGAGCATTTTAAAACCAACAACTCCAAACAGTGTTTTCCTTACGCATTCTTCGGTCTTAATTTTAGTGTTGTATACGTGCCATCGAGGCCATTGACTCCGATTTCAGCCTGCTTTTCTTTTTAGATTTGTTTCCAAAGGCAGCAATTGTCTTTACTAGAAGAATTCCCCAGCTAACGAACTCGAGACTTGTCGGTTTAGAAACCATGAACTTTACTGACTCGACCACGCCGACCCCGCATCCGATAGCAGTAGCGTAGCGAGGGGGTGGGGGGGTGGGGACATATATCCCCGGGCGCCGACCTTAGGGGGCGCCAAAAAACTTAAATAGGCCTACATAAAAAATATATGTGAATACATATACAAATGCGTATATACATACTTACATACTATATATATATATATATATATATATATATATATATATATATATATATATATATATATATATATATATATATATATATATATATATAATTATTTTAAAAGGGGGGGGGGTGGTTGGCACCATTAAGTACCGCACCCCGCACCGGGTGACATCCGACCTCGCTACGCCACTGTTAGCAGGCCGTGTGAAGCACCAAATGAGACAGCAAAAGCTACACTACATTTCGAAGTAAATATAGCCTGCATTCAATATTCAGACACAAATGTTAAAACAAAACCAACCTTTATTGGGAAATGTTAGTCATGAAGGTAAACTTGCCCCTAATCCACACTTAAGAGCGGTTTTATAAGGGGTAATGTTTAGTCGGAAATGCCACATTTTGTTAAATAATATTTTTGTGTGTGATAGACTTGTAAAATTTTATAAAGAAGTAACTTTTGTTTGGTGGTCCTAAATTACCTCCGGCAACTGAATCCAGTATTGTATCCCCCCCCCCCCCCCCCCCCCAAATTTGGGAAACAAAAATTCTAACGTAAAAAAAACATTTTTCCCCAAAATTTAACAAATAAACAATTTATGTAATTCTTTGACAAATACCAGCACCACACTATCTCAATATTTTAAAATCTCATTACCCACCGCCCATACTAGATAACCCCCCCCCCCCCCCCCCCCATTGCTCTATGGTTCAGATCGAACCGTTTCTTTCTAAAACCTACTTAGTGAATTTATCTCAAACATATTTAAGTTTTATCGATTAAATAAAGTTATTAATGTTGCTGTATAGTCTGCTGTCACACATATTTTACAATACAATAATATTTCAACGAAGACTTCAAGATTTGGATCTAGACTTATGAAGATAATTGGATAATAATGTTATCGCATAAATGAAAAAAAAAAGACGATTGCAAAGAGCTTCTAGTAACTGGGAGTAGTTTCCCCTAGCAAGTAACAGCTCCATAGTAACAACAGGAAGTAAACAGTTTTCAAAGTACCATTCAACCAAGCCTTATCAAACACAGTTTTGGCCTATAACATCACGTTTGTTTAATATGAAGTATTAATATATTGCCTAGACATTCAAGGCGAAATGTTAAAATATATTCTGCGCTTTAGTCCGGTGCTCTTCATAAATCTTTTTTAGAAAGTGTCAAAAACTGTGCAGAAACACTTTTATACAATTTCTTATTTCCATCATTCGAATGAGAAAACAACAAAAAATATTAAAATAAACATCGAAAAAGCTTTTGGGCAGTAACATTGACAATGCCATTTCTACATGAACCAAAATCGAGGGAGCCACTTTGGAAAGAATGGGACTACAAGGCACAGAAAAAAGGATTTAGGAGCACAGTTTACTCTGTAAATGGCGATGAATATAATGGAGAGTGGCTAGATAACAAAAAACATGGTTTGTAGCTTCTGATTTTATTATTCAAGGAAAGAATTAATATTACTGATACACTAAAAAAATATATTTTATAAATAGCAACCAATTGTAAAATATAAAAGGGCCCTCTGCACCAAATATGGCTCATTAACTGACTTCAGGCTGCGCTGTTCTATATCATTTTTTTGTTTCCATAATCTTTATCCACTCAATAATAATTTTAGCAAATTTTAACTCCCTCTGCTCTACCCTCACATTCAAAAGAGGCTTGACTCCTTTCTCCTAAATAATTGAACACATTTCCCAAGTTATATAATTGAAGTCAGAACTCCCTCTACATATACAATGATCACAATTATATCACACTCTTTTTATAGGCTCAAGACATATTGTTTGGACATTTAGTCACTGGTTGTATCCTAACCATACATGCATTTTTGCAGAGCCACATAAACCTTAATTTTACCCTAATGCTTGGTTTTAAAATATCATTTGCTCTTTCAGTTTATATTGTGTCGGTAAACGTACAGCAAACTGAGGTTTTTCCTATGATCTCTAAGATGTATCAAGATTTGTAAAGCTTTTTTAGAGTTAGAATTATGAATTCAAACTTAACCTTTGAAGCCTTAACTCCTGAACCTACATTCCCCATGCCCCTGAGCTCCTTAGTTAAACGTACCCACAACAGACTCTTAAATAAAATATAAAGACTATGAGTGTAACAACAGGATTAATTTTATTATTTCAATTTGTACATGAACTGTCGCCATTACTTTGACTTAGTATGCCAGTTGTCTGTGTAGGTAGACCCTTCTTTCAGACCGACGTAGGTGAAGACATAGGTAGAATGCTGATTGTTGGAATTTTAAAATCGTTCTTCCATCTTAAATTGTAAATTATAAACACAATAAACAATTTACAAGGCACAGCCTTGATAGTAACTTACTACAATTTAAACATTACTAGTTACATACTTTTTTAATCACACATTTTTGTTTTGGCTATCGATCTGGGGTAAGGTGTCGAATAGTGATTTATCGGTGTGTCTTGGCACTGAGATTTAAGACTTGGACAGATATAGTGTTACCACGAGTTCAAAGGTTTAGAGTTTGCAGTATTGATGGAAACTATTTCAGCATGTAATAACATTTTTATAAATTTTGAGTGGATTTATGTTCTTCATGGCTGTGGGGTCTTGGTGGATCAGTTCTATTGTTTTGGGTGGATCAGCACTAAGTATTTTAGTTGGATCCACACTGTTAGTGTTGGGTGCATTGTTATCACTGGTACTGGATATAATGAACTAGTGGTAGATGAACCAGTATTATAAAATGGGGAATATTTACCAGCAGGTCATTTTCAATGCAAATTTTTGCTATTCTGTAGTTTGTTTATTATTCAAAAACATGTCACAATGTATATCTGCTGTATTAAACATTCACCTTATACTATACAACACCCAATTATTTTTAAAAATTACAGCTTATACACAAAGGATTTTTAATTATTTGAACAGGTAAAGGAACTTTCAAATGGAAAGAAACAAACAAAGTGTATGATGGTGATTGGAAGAAAGGGAAAAGAAGTGGATTCGGTACTCTCACTCATTCAGATGGAAAAGGTGGATTCACAAAAGAGTATTCAGGGGGCTGGAAAAATGACCTAAAACATGTGAGTATTGTGTATTTCCCCAAACAGAGGAATCAAATCGTGTGTTAGATGATTTATTCAAACTAAAATCTGTATATTTATTTTGACTTAGGGCTATGGAACGGAGTTCTATTCTGATGAAACATTTTATGAAGGAGAATGGTATGCAGGGAAAAGATCTGGATGGGGGAGAATGTACTTTGAAGATGGAACAATTTATGAGGGAGAATGGTATGATGATCAGCGAAGTGGACAGGGCATGTTAAGACTAAGTAAGTTGCAACATAGTTCAAGGGAAACTTAGAGGAAATCATTCTGATAAATATTCAATATTAATATTATATAAATTTTCAGAAAAATTATAAACATGTATTTTTATTTCTAATGGTTTCAGAAAGCTTAACTATAGGTTGAATTGAGTTTTAACCTCTGTGCCATAGCTTCTGTTTGTTACAGTTTTAGATAAACTTCTGTAGTTTTAGACTCAGTAGGAATATTTAAAAAAAAATAATTACATTTTTTATATCTTCAAAACTCAGGTAATTAATTTATTTTCTTTGGGAAATGAAAAAGTGCTGGGAAGTTCAGTTATATATCAAAGAATTATTGTTATATTAAAGGCCATATTGTCGTGCAATATTACATTGTAATTATTTTGTTACCAGTTGTTTAATCCCCTCCAATGTTACAATTTAGAACAAATAAGAAAGGGCAAAAAATGTTGATGAAATAGATACCAAATTGATGTCATTATCTGCCCTGAATAGCATAGTATATATTCTTGCATTCCATATCTTAAATTATGTGTAGCTAAAATGGTATCGCAATTAAATAAACTGTTGTTATAGACTCAACCAATACAATATGAATGATATAGAACTATAACAAAGTATGTTATAACTTTATGTTCCCAGAAACACCAAGCAATTAACTGTAAAATAAAAATAACCTAAAAACTATTGTGATCTGTTTCCTACCTTAGCCAATGAGAACAGGTATGAAGGCTCATGGAAAGAAGACAAGAAAAACGGAGCTGGGAAATTTTATTATTTGGACTCAGGGCAGGTATTTGAAGGGGTGTGGAAGGATGACGTCCCCAAGTGCGGAACCATGCGGGACTTTGGGAGAGACAACGCACCCGAACCAACACAGTACCCTATACCAGAGGTCAGCTCTTTTCTGATGTGATTCTGATGTGAAGTTATTTGGTCTAGGCTAGCCAAACAATAGTTATTTCCAGCTCTTTTATTATATGATTTTGATGTAGAGTTCTTGAGTCTGATCCGAGCTAGTCATTAAGTTATGACTTCTGCTTTCTCTGTTAAGAAACTTAAATAATCAACGATGTACTACTTCAGATCTAATGTTCGGCTTAAAATAGCCAAGCAATGAAACCATAATAAGAAAAAAAAATTCCCATTTAATAATAAAAAAATATGTGTTCACTTTTTGGCAAAATGGTAGATTAATTTTTTACTAATTTTATTTCAATAGAATATTTCAATAAATATTTTAAATAAAATATAATAAACCATAAGTGTGTTTAAAAATTAAAGTAGTTGTGAATTAGATGTTATTTATTTGTAAATTAATTCTTGCTAAGAGTAATTACATTTTGCACAATTTAAGCTAAGGAAGATGTAGAAATGTACCACAAAAATAAAACAATATGTGTTGTGTGTCCTATGCTTGAATGTTGTTATATTCCCAGATAAAGTTAGCCAACCCTGAACATTTTCTACAACATTAACTGCGCATGTTTAATGTATTGACCTTATATTCCCAGATAAAGTTAGCTCACCCTAAGACTTCTCCACAACATTAACTGTTTCATCATAGTTAATGTATTGACCTTATATTCCCAGATAAAGTTAGCTGACCCTGAAAGTGTAATAGCTGATGCAGAGGATCAGTTCTTGAACGACAATGAGTGACAGCTGTAAAGACATGTACTTGATTGAATACCTTGTAAATAACTGTGCAATGCCTGTAAGAATCAATAAAAAAAATATATACCCTCAAATTGTAGATGTCCCATCTTTATTTAAATATAAAAATGATTACGAAAATTGCAGTGTTTTTTTTTACTTTAAACAGACAAGTTTTATTAATTTGTGTTGTGAATTTTTAGTGAGGTGTTTTAAAAAAAATATTAAAGAGAGACAACTTTGATTTATTACGCCATGCATAAAACATTTTAGCCTCCCCTTCTGTCAGTTTAAAAAAAATCTTTTGTGTAGAATCAACTTACACAAAACAAGTCTTTCACTTTTTTTCTTTTTTTTTTACATTTTTAACCAAATTATCAAACTTAAGCAGATTTAAATGCTCATTACTTTAAAGATGTATTTATTTAGTAAACAAAATAAACTGTCGGCTAGCATAGGTCTGCTTGGTTCAAATAATCCAACAAATTTTTTTTAAATTTTGGTTAAACCTTGTAATTAAAGTAATGTATAAAACATATGATTTAATTTTTTTTTTTTTTGTATTTGAAGAAAAAAAATATTTTTAAAAATTTGGTGAAATATTTTGTATAGAAAATGACTAGCTTATATCTTAGATTATGCCTTTAAAAAAAAGTTGTAATTCATCATCTAGAAAGAAAGTAGCCTAGCATTTTTGTGTTTAATAAAAAAATAAATATTTGAGTTGATCTCCCTAAAGGATGGTAGACCACTTACTTTGCTACTGTTCGAGCATGTCAAAATTTTGAATAAGGTTGCCAGAAAAAACGAGTTTGTCACTGGCCTGAACAGAAATAAAAAAAAGTTTTAAAATGAAAAATAGAAACAGTGATCGCATGGATGTATAAATAACACAGTTTGACACCAGATTTCAATCTTCATAGGGATAAATATACCGAACTAAAATAACTTAGATGCATATCTGTAACTTCTTTTGTGTTTTATATATATATATATATATATATATATATATATATATATATATATATATATATATATATATATATATATATGCGTGTATATATATATATATATATATATATGCGTGTATATATATATATATATATATATATATATATATATATATATATATATATATATATATATATATATATATGTATATATAATTTATGTAAATTAAACATCTTTAAGTAAATACTCCAAATAGTACTTAGAAAGATCAAACTAAAACGTTAGTCATTATCCTGCTCCCATTAGAGTCTAATATCCATAAACTGTTAAACTACTTTGATTCCCACTACATTGGCTGTTGGTTGGTTTGAGGCGAGCAACTGAGTTGAACTGTGTTCACCAGGTGTGCCTGACCACACGTGTGTACTCACCAGATAACTTACTTGGAGGGGGGGGGTGAGCTATCTGAGCGCTGGGCCGTAAAGGAAGGGGAAGACACCGTTGCCAGAAGGGAGGTAAGCAGGGTTAGTCTTTAAAGTGTGTTTAATCGTTTTGTAAGTTGATGTGGTTTAGTGACCAAAGAGTTCACACGAGACAGAAAAGTAAAATACTGGGTTAAAAAAATATTGCTCACCTCGCGAATTCCACACGGAAATGTTTGCTCGTTTGAGGGAAAAAAAAGTTCAGTAAAAAGTTTTGCACTATTAAAATATACCAGTAACACGGTAATACATCTTGAGTTTTCTTTTTCAATTTTGTTTACGCTTGCTGTGTAAATAAACCACATTTAAACACGTTTAATTGTGCTCATGATTTAATGAGTTTTAGTTGTAGTTTAAGAACCTAGTTAATGACTCAAGCAGCAATTAAAGAAATAATAAGAATCCCAGCAACAAATTCAAATCTAAGATAAACTGTTTATGTTTCTTTCTTCACAGTTTAGTCCGTTAGAATATATGTTTGGATATATATATATATATATATATATATATATATATATATATATATATATATATATATATATATATATATATATATATATATATATATATATGTTTGGATATATATATATATATATATATATATATATATATATATATATATATATATATATATATATATATATATATATACATATATATATATATATATATATATATATACATATACATATACATATACATATATATATATATATATATATATATATATATATATATATATATATATATATATATATATATATATATATATATCAATTTGGTAAAACTGAGTTAAAACTTTGAAACAAAAACCCACCCATCCAAAGACAGACGTTGCGATCCAAATGAAAATTGAGTTTCAATTTTTCAGGTATAAATAACAATTTAAGAGTTGGAATTTTTCAGGTATAAATAACAATTTAAGAGTTTGAACTTTTCGAGCACAACTTCCAACATGATAGTTGCAAGTTTGAAATTGGACTTAACAGAAGCAGCAGACGGGCAGGTGTGTTTGGGTAGCTCGCGACTGGGACGTCTGAAAAGTAAAATTCCCATTGAAAAGTTTGACGTCTGCTCTGGCAGCACATTTTATTGCCCGGCCCCGCAGGTAGTTGGAAAGGTGAGTAGTGTTCTACGTCAAGGGAGACGACAGGGTTGTACATAAAAACCTTTTTAAAAAGATGGGGTATTGGAACTGACTACGTAAGTTGTTGGAGGCTGTGGATAGCAGATTTGGGTAGAGTTTTTTTTTTTTTTTTTTTTGGTGGGGTTATTTTTAGAGAATTGTTTTATACTGTGTGACCTTGTGTTATCAGTTTTGAAAATCTAAATGATGAACTGAATGTTGGATGAATGTTGTGTTTTGTGTGTTAAAATGTGACGTGACTTGTGGATTTAGACGAATCAAGGGGCAAAACTCAAAAATGAAACAACTGCAAATATGGAAACAAATTCAGAAATAAAACAGGCTAAAATCTTAGTCGACGTCCTATATTGGCCTATAACAGATCGACACGTACACATCATTGTGTTGGAGGAAATTATGTCCAAATTTACAATTAAGAACGAAGAAGAAAACTCACACACTTATACGAACTCACACACACATACGAACTTACGCACACATACACACACATACGAACTCATGCACACATAAGGGGTCGGCGTGGTCGAGTCGGTAAAGCTCATGGTTGCTAAACCGAAAAGTCTCGAGTTCGAACCCTCGGGCAGATGAGGCTCGTTAGCTGGGGACAGCCACTCTTCTAGAAGAGACAACTCCAAAATTAAACAACTGCTGCCTTGTAGTTTGTTCTTGGTTGGACAAAGGCTATGGAAGCAAATCCAAAAAGAAAAGCAGGCTGAAATCGGAGTCAATGGCCTCAATGGCGCATAACCAGTTGACACGTAACGCTTAATTTTGTTGGAGGCGTGGTCGAGTCGGCAAAAAAGCTCATGGTTGATAAATTCGAACAAAGTCTCGAGTTCAAACCCACTGGCAAATAAATCTCGATCCCCTTCAACACTAATAATTAAGAACGAAGAAGAAGAAGAAGATGCACACATACATGCGAAGTACACACTCACACATATATATAGATTTCGTTTTGGTCAGTTAACTGGGAAGTTGAAGGTGATATCATTAGAACAACAGACGACCAACTCTCCTAATTAATTAACAGCTTTCATTAACGCACGTGCGGGTTGACGGGTTCGTGCGTACACCGACCTACATCTGAAAGGGACCAAAGATCCTCACACGTTGGGTAGCGCTTCCCCCCCCCCCCCCCCCACCAGAAGAAAACACGTGTGTGAGGGGGTCGTCAGTGTGCGGGGGTCGTCGGCGTGTGGGCCACAGAACGTGGGCTTCGAACAACAGCGCCACCTGTGGAAGGTGTAACGGGGGGGGGGGTGTACACGGCCTCCAAATCAATCCATCATTACCAGCCTGTACCTAAACGATACCCAGCGATTTCACGTCACCGACTAGCCCGCACAAGAAATAAAACAGGGGCTTTATTTAATCACTCATGCCGTAGGATGTTTCAAATCAACCCGGACAAATTCGGGAAAAGGTTAGACCTCTAAAGCATGAGGAGGTACTTTCTTGAAGACATTTTTTCCCTCCCCAGTTTCCTGTTCGTTTTTAACGACTAGCAGTTGAAGAACAGAAGAGCAAGATAAAAATATTTGTAGTTGTAGAACAGCAGAGCAGTATAAAAAATGTGTAGTTGTAGAACAGCAGAGCACTATAAAAAATGTGTAGTTGTAGAACAGAAGAGCAGTATAAAAAGAGTAGTTGTAGAAGAACAGAGCAGTATAAAAATATTTGTAGTTGTAGAAGAACAGAACAGTATAAATATTTGTAGTTGTAGAAGAACAGAGCAGTATAAAAATTTGTAGTTTTAGAACAGAAGAGCAATAGAAAAAAAATGTGTAGTTGCACAACAGCAGAGCAGTATAAAAACTGCGAGTATCGTCAACATTTGCACAACAGCAGAGCAGTATAAAAACTGCGAGTATCGTCAAGCAGTTGCATAACAGCAGAGCAGTATAAAAAAATGTGAGCACCGAGAAGCAGTTGCACAACAGCAGAGCAGTATAAAACATTGCATAACGATAAGCTAGTTGTAATCTGTGTGAAAAAAATAGTTTGTTTTCTGCTGGTGTTCGCTAAAGTGGTATTGAGGTGATGTTTGGAATTTTGGGTACTAATTTTTTTTAAAGCTAAGTTCATTTTGCCGAAATCATCGCTAATCATTACTTAATACAAAAAAAATTACCTTATCGCACAGCGAATTAAATACACTGATCAATTTGTATAACAATTTACAAAAAAAAAAAAGAAATATAGGCCTATATAATTTAGCATTTTCAACTACCGCTTAAATTTGTTTTAATATTTCTTGAGCCCAAAACTCTGTTGTTGAGTATATTATTAATTTTATAATCATTGTATTCATAGCTATGAGAGAAAATGGAAGAGATCAGGGTAACTCACAATCCAAAGGTCAAGATCGCCTTTCTTAATCCTTAAGCCTGAGCTAAAGCAAAATCTAACACGGTGTGTTGTTGTAGGTTATATATTGTAAATGTTAAAATGTTAAGCTCTTAAAAACATAAAACAGTAGACACTTAATAGAATAAGAAACAAGTTAAACATAACTTAACAAACACGGTTTCTTATGATACGCAAGTTAAAAATATTTATATAGCAAATATGTAACAAATTATTAGGTTAAAAAAAATAACACTGATAGCAAATTTAAATCTTAAAAAATAAGTCAAACTAAAACCCAACACCGTTAGCATATATATTATATGGTAAAAATTTTAAAACAAATCTCAAGCGTACCTGTTTGACCCTCAATAACCACCGTTCTCCCTCCCCCCTACCCCCTCCCACCCTATCTTCCTACAGGTAGCTCGTAGACCCTTACCGTGGATGTGATTCGAATACGGACATGAATACGGAAAATTGGTATACAGGGGGGGAAAAATTGATAAGACATTTATGTTGAGAGGAGACAGACAGTTATGTGAAGTCTGTAGCCCACTAAAGGTCGCGCCCTGGGCCTATCTAGCTGCTCTACAGATTGATATGTAAAAAAAAAATTGGGCAGGGGTGGTGGGGGGTGAGCAGACGATTCGTCCCAGACAGATAAAGACGTGTTCGCGCCAAACCGAGCCCACCAAGTAGCACCGGCGCGCCTCCCCTCTCCTGCTCCGCCTCCCTGGGTCTAACTTTCATTGTCTGTCGTCTGGTCTGTAGGTATATTTGTCTGTGTGATCTCACGGGGCTTGTGTCGACGAAATGTAAACTTCGAACGAGATCGGGAAAAAAAATTTCCTTGAACGATTTTTTTTTTAAAAGCCCTTTTTGTGTAACGTAAGGGAGATAAGTAAAGCAAGTACATCAAACTGGAAAAGACTTTTTTTTCCTTCCGATTTCTTATTATATTTGTGATAGGTTACATCTTCATGTTGAGGAACGAAATGGAATACAATCTTTTATTTATAGTGCCGAGTGAATATTACCCGGCTACAAGATGATATATACAACAGTTTGGTAGATGCTGAGTCTTATCAAAGCAAAACGACAGTGAGTTCCGGATAAAAAAATAATAAGAAAGTTTTCAGGATTTTTATTTTCACTTCGTTCACGCGATGTTGTCTGTAGTGTTATTTGGTGTCCTCTTCATGCCGAGTTGGTCACTTAACATGTTTGTTGACAGGGAATTCCTTCAGAGGAAGACAGGTATGTAGATTACAACTTACGTAAGTTTAAAGACAGGTATGTAGATTACATCTTAAATTTTACATATTCGTATTTAAAGACAGGTATGTAGATTACAACTTACGTAAGTTTTAAGACAGGTATATAGGGTACACGTTACATAATCTTACGTGACGTCTTTATATTTAAGACGGGTATGTAGACTAGAAGTTACATAATTTTACCTCTTCATGTTGAAAGACAGGTACGCCTACGTAGACAACAAGTTGCATAATTTGACGTCTTCGTATTTAAAGAAGTATGTGGGCTACAAATTACGTAAAATTTGCGTCATCATGTGGAAAGTTCAGATATGTAGGCTACAAGTTACATAATTTTACGTCTTCGTGTTAAAAAAAAAACAACAACCACCGGTTAGACTGTCGGCCTACCGAAAGGTAAATGAGCACATTGCCCCTCGCTCCCCCCCCAACCGTATAAACACGTAGCACCCCCCCCCCCACCACCGTATAAACACGTAGACATTTAACTTTCTATAGGTTATACATATCTGAAAACGGTTCATACAGGAAGCCAAACAATGGAAGGGAAATGTTTTTATTGCGTGATTGTTAAAATATGAAAACATGGAAATATAACAGTGCTGTGGTTTCATACATAAACCTCTTTACTGTGTGATCACTCAGATGTGGACAGATATTACTTGAAAGCTACACAGCAACGTTGTTTACTCTGGTTGTTATGGTTACTAGCCTATCGCTTAAAACAAACAACTAACAGTAAACGTGATTGGGTTGTTGTTTTTATATGAAAAAATTATTACAGTTATTCAATACTTAAAGTATGAACTTTCGTTATTTTGTTGACTATTATTTATTAAAAATAAATCTGGCAAGCATGTAAGCAAGAAAACAGTTGTAAATTTGCGGAAACCTGACCAATGTATTTAGTACCGTTTAGTTTGCTAAGAGTGGACTCTTCAACGCATGTTCCACTGTTGCTCTACCAGACATACCTCAGCGTTCCACTTTCTAATGTTGAGAAGAATTTGTTTAAACCTAGTGGTCGTTTGGTAGACTGCCCATTTTATTTTTAAACAGAAGGCAATGAGGCGAAGTTAACATTTTGAAGTTCTAAATATAATCAGTTTTTTTTTCCTGTTTTCAACGTCTTTCAACGCTTTTTACCTAATTAGTAAACTGGCTAATATATCCTGTCTTCAAAGATTTAACATTGTTATTATGTAATAAATAGAATGAGAGTTGATAAAAATAGACTTGTACGGATAAAAGTTCGACGCGCTGATGATAGAAAACTCTAAACAATATACCTAAGTAATTTGTATTATATAGGTGTATTGATGATAAACTAGTCTAAACAATAGACCAGATAGATTTGTAATAGATCGGAACCTTGGTGATAGACTAGTCTAAACAATAGACCAAATAGATTTGTAATAGATCGGCACCTTGATGATAGACTAGTCTAAACAATAGACCACATTAATTTGTACTAGATTGGTGTGTTGATGATACACTAGACTAAACAAGAAACATAACAGAGCTGGGCGAAAACGAAAGTAGACCAGCAGAGCCCTACAGCTAGACATATAATCTATAATAATAGTTTCGCTGTCTCTCTATCTATCTATCTATCTGTCTGACAAGAACGCTCTAGAGAAAACACAAGGAATTTAAAAACCTGCACAGTAATTCGAAAAACGAAATATGACGTCGACACATTTAGCGTAGAGTAGAACATAATCTCAAACCAGAGAGTGCACACAGTAATGTAATGACGTCATTGAAACATTGAAAAAAAGGAAATGTTGTCTAATCTAAATGGTTTGCGTGAAGAGTTTCTTGCATAGAATTCTTCGAGTAGGGGCGAAGCCCCACCCCCCGCGTAAGAACGTCTGAGCCCCCCCCGCCTCCCCAACTCAAAAGAAATTTCCTCATCGATGCTCTATAATAAAATTACCGCCTAATTAATGTGTCTAATCTAAAAAGTGGTTTTCTCGCAATTTCTTTAATGCAATTCTTCGCGTAGTGGCTAAGCGCGACACCAGTGTTTCTTTCAGACTTTTTCCTCCCCGGAGAGGGGGGGGGGGTGGGGTGGGGGGGGGGGGGGGTAGGGGGGTGAGTGGGGGGGGTGGTTTTAATTTAGACTTTTTCCTCCCCGGAGAGTAGTGGGGGTACTTGAAATTTTCGGGGGTGGGGGTAGAATTTTCGGGGAGGGGGCGGACACTGGAAAAATTATATAATTATATTTCGTTGAATGGGACGGTATACATGTTTTTCGGGGTGGGGGGGGGGGGTGGGGGTGGTGTGGGGGGGGGTGTGGGGGGGGGGGGTGGTGGGGTGTGTGGGGGGGGGGGCTGGGGGGGTTTTAGTTTAGAGAAAAGAGACAGCACTATCAGCCTAGCGCCCGGTGTATCCTTCCTCAACGGGCCATTTTTCTCGTTTATAAATAGGGGGCGAGCAACTAGCAGCTACAAACGTAAATAAGTAGACACAACATCAGACCTTTGACTGGGTTAAACTGCAGGTAAAATACTCAAAATGGGACGTGGTTACCATGTCAATACTCAGTCATTTCTATCAGGGTATGTCTTCACAATCACTATGTTCTGCAGCTATGTTACGTTGTTATAAATACACCATACATCCTTAATGCTAAATCTAAATAAATAACAATATTGTATCCGTTAGGTGTAAGAAGTAAAATAAATTATGAACAATCTAAACACAGTCGTTCTGCTAAGTTGCAGGGTTATGGTGGTTTAACCTTAATAAAACAACTGAATGTCCGAATCCAAATGTAGCCGCTAATGTTGAATTACTTAGAACAAACAGACAAGCGAGAAGATGCCAGACTTGACCCTAGTGCCTGCAGGTGGGGCAGCTGTTGGTGTTTCTCGCACAACTAGACATACCTGTCGGTGCCGGAGATTCTCAGATAAGTCATCAGGAGAGGAGAGTTTGGGGCACCTTAGAACAGGTGGATGAATAAAGTCTAGGGTACTTTAGAACAGGTAGATGAATACAGTCTAGGGCACTTTAGAACAGGTGGATGGATAAAGTCTAGGGCACTTTAGAACAGGTGGATGAATAAAGTCTAGGGAACTTTATAACAGGTGGATGAATACAATCTAGGGCATCCTAAGACAGGTGGATGAATAAAGTCTAGGGCACTTTAGAATAGGTGGATGAATAAAGTCTAGGGCACTTTAGAACAGGTGGATGAATAAAGTCTAGGCCACCTTAGAACAGGTGGATGAATAAAGTCTAGGGCACTTTAGAACAGGTGGATGAATAAAGTCTAGGGCACTTTAGAACAGGTGGATGAATAAAGTCTAGGGCACTTTAGAACAGGTGGATGAATAAAGTCTAGGCCACCTTAGAACAGGTGGATGAATAAAGTCTAGGGCACTTTAGAACAGGTGGATGAATAAAGTCTAGGGCACCATAAGACAGGTGGATGAATACAATTTAGGGCACTTTAGAACAGGTGGATGGATAAAGTCTAGGGCACCATAAGACAGGTGGATGAATAAAGTCTAGGGCACCATAAGACAGGTGGATGAATAAAGTCCCGGGCACCCTAAGACAGGTGGATGAATAAAGTCCCGGGCACCCTAAGACAGGTGGATGAATAAAGTCCCGGGCACCCTAAGACAGGTGGATGAATAAAGTCCCGGGCACCCTAAGACAGGTGGATGAATAAAGTCCCGGGCACCCTAAGACAGGTGGATGAATAAAGTCCCGGGCACCCTAAGACAGGTGGATGAATAAAGTCCCGGGCACCCTAAGACAGGTGGATGAATAAAAACTAGCCCAACTTAAGACCAATGGATACAGGATCTAGACATACTGTGAAATTAGACTGAGAGTAAAACATCCCTTGACATAGGACACATTTAGATCAGTACACGTTGGGTCCTCACATACTTTGACACCAAACTTTGACAATCTACACAGCATGTGACTTTAGACTTAGAGAGTCTACACATCCACAGACTTTAGACACAACACAAAACAAATGCAGGATATAATTCTATTTAGAATATATATATATATATATATATATATATATATATATATATATATATATATATATATATATATATATATATATATATATATATATATATATATATATAGTCCTGTTTACTTTTCCCCAGACGATATACTGGAGCAACTGAACCATTTTGAGACCACAATACCTCAGCTTGTCGACCACAGAGGCAACTTCCTCAGCTACGACGTCCGACACTCCAGCGTACTACGTCACACGGCCGAGGCCCACTCCCGCGGCAAGCGCTCGGCCAAACGCCCCTCCGGCAAAAAATCCAAAAAGTCCAAAATATTTCTCGACGAGCGCGGGGAGATTGGGCGGAGTCACGTGTTCTACAAGCTGTCGGCCAACGGGCGTGAGTTCCACCTGAACCTCACCCTCAACAACCAGCTGCTCAGCAAGGACTTCGCCGTGGAGTTCCTCGGGAAGTCTTCGAGAACCAAGAGCCAGGAGCAGATCTGGGATTGTCACTACACGGGGGCCAGTATAGGGCATGATGGGTTCGATGCTGCAATCAGTAACTGTAATGGACTGGTAGGTTATCCTTTCTTCCTTTACGTCCATATTATATATATATATATATATATATATATATATATATATATATATATATATATATATATATATATATATATATACATACATATATATATATATATATATATATATATATATATATATATATATATATATATATATATATATATATATATATATATATATATATATATATATATATATATATATATATATATATATATATATACATATACCTATACATATTCATATATATATACATACACACAAACACACACACACACACGTTTATATATATATATATATATATATATATATATATATATATATATATATATATATATATATATATATATATATATATATATATATATATATATATATATATATATATTGATATTTGTATAACCCCGCCAACGCTAGAACGCTAGCGGACCAAGTCAAGTACTGCTTATATAAAAGTCTAACTTCGACATATGCATTTATTTGACTCAACATTACCCATAAATAAACATATTAAGTCAGATAATTCCAATGTAAAAAGTTATACTCGTCAAATGATCACTTTTAAAATATCGGGCTGTGGTGTGTAATCTATTTATAACTAAGCAAGATTTGCTGAACACTAGCTTGAGTAGAAATCCATTTATTTAAAAAAAAAATCTTTTGTTAGTTTAACGTTAAGGTTTTAGCGACGAATACAGGGAGAGAACTCTCAATCTCACGACACAGAAAACTCGCCTGCACCCAGCCATATATTATTTCCCTTGTCATTTATGCGACATGTCTTGAAACTGGATCCCTCTCAACCCAATACAAAAAAATGGCTTCAATACAACTGCCGTTGTTCACACGTATATTTTGAAAACATGGGTTAAAATCTGGTAATATGGCGGCCCTTGGGGGACTTGAACCACGAGTTAGTTTGCTTAAGGTAAAAGACGTACAGCCGGCATGATAACACACATACACACACACATAGAGAGAGAGACACATACACACAAACATACACGCACATGTGTACATACACACACCCACGCACACACATACACATAAAATCGCATACAGACATACACGCTTACGTATACACACATGCATGCACACGCATGCATGCGACCCTTCCCGGCGCCCGGGGACAAACTTTCAATTTGCCCCCCCCCCCACCCCACGGGGACAAACTTCAAACTTTGAATTTGGCGCCCCTACCTCCATATATTTTTTTAATATTCATAATGCAAAACTGCAGCTAAAATGAGCTTTTAATTTTTTTTCAACCCATTTTGGCGCTCGCTAAGGTCGGCGCCCGTGGACATATGTACCCCCCGCTCCCCCCTCTCGCTACTCCTTTGATGCACATATATACATAGAGGCATACAGATACTTATATATGCACATACACACATAGAGTGCAAGCTATAAGACAGGTTTAGTTGTATCATGAAGTTGTTGTCTTGACAAGACATCCTGTCACATATAAAATATTGTCAGCAGCACATATCTCTTGTAATTCAGTGCCTAAAATCACCAACGGCGTCACTAGGTGGGGTGTCACCCGGTGCGGTAACTAAATTTGTCATTCCGCCCCCTTTCAAAAATTTAGCACTTTCGGTTTGGTGTCACCCCTCTCCCCCTACTATTTTTGTTACCTTAACTTGGCAAAACATTGTTTTGACAGTAAAGTTTACGATTTTTGTGGTGGTGTCACCCCCTAAATGGTGTCACCGCACCCCTCGCCCCACTTTGTAACGCCACCGCAATCCTTCCCCCTCCCCTCCTTAAATGACTATATATGACACAATAACTACAAGCAATCTGGAATCATCAATGCATGATGTCATCCCGTGCTCAAAGATATTTACACCTTTAATCGTGTAGAAGATTAATCTGACAAAGAATATTTTTCCATTCCGAAGGACATTTGTTTTCTCCCTTTAGGGGTGACACCCTGTACCGTCCGCCCTGTCTTGTCGTGTAATGCTACAGCCGTCAATGTTGTCCTCGACACCCATTTCTTTACTTCTTTACCTTAATTTTTTCTTTGTTCTAAATCTCATGTGCCAATCATTGTCATAAAAATTATGTATACTGTGTGAAATTGTGCCCAAGACAAAGATCTTTCGGTTCCTGTTGTATTCTGGAACTAGTCACTGAGATCTAACGAACACTCCTATAGTTTATGTTGTTGTACTGAAAAGTATTTCACTGTATCTAAGAAACTGTTCATATGTTCACACGCTGAAACAAGCTCACTATAACTTATTCCCTGCCAGTTGATAATGCAAAAAACTACCTGATTCCAACCCTCGTTTAGAATACACAAGTTCAAGGCGACTGTGTGTTACAGAAATATTGCCAACATACATTCACACATACAGTTGAGTTAAGGAAATACTCTCAACATAAATTCACAGATACAGTTGAGCTAAAGAAATACTCTCAACATGAATTCACAGATACAGTTGAATTAAGGAAATTTCACAGATTTATTTCAGTTAAGGAAATACTATCAACATACATTCACAGATACAGTTGAGTTAAAGACATGTTGTCAACCTATATTCTGTCATTGATTTGCCAAGCATTCTCTCGCCCCGCCATACTAGATGAGTTGTTTATGTCAACGGATAAACAAATTATAAAATTGACTTGTTGATACTTATGAATCAACACGAACAAAACGACATTACAAATAACCACATTAAAGTTATCTGTAATCCCAAGATAGAATGTTATATAAAAATGATAATTCTAAAACGTCAGGGTTCTGAAATAAGTTTTTATTTTAAGCCATACTTTTGAATTTTAACAAAATTAAAAAAAATAAAAACAATAAAAAATTTTTTTTAAAAATTCTGATTCGAAATAGATCTAGACGTCTTGTCAAGATGTTTTTTATATAGAATATTGAGTTCGAAACCTGAAATTTTTTTATACGACGAAGAAAAAAAAATTCTGCACACACCTTACCCCGTGACTGCTCTGAAATCGGGTTTTCCCAAAATGCAGACAAACTTAATTACACAATGGCCGTGTCAACAACTCAAACAATAGTTTTACCTCAAGTCAAACAACGGGTTTACCCATAGGCAGATCGGTCAGCTTGTTTGTGTCTCTCATACATGCGTTTTCATAAGGAGGGGATTTTTTTTTTTAATTTGTGTTTGCATTCCTGAAATAATTGGCTGCGTCTATTGCAGGGTTGTTCTATCGGCTGCGGTGACTTTTTTTTTTTTTCTGTAAAGTCGCTGAGTAGAAAAACACAAAGAAATTACATGATCGCTTATCGAGGGGGAAAATTTCTCAGCTTTCGAGAATAAATGCTTTAGCAATACTCTGAAAGACAGCTTGACGACTTTGAGTAGACAGAAATACATTATTTGATCCTCTTTTTTTTTGGAATGGAGATTCAACTTTTTTTCTACCGTAAGTGTTTTAGTTTTCAACTTTTCGGAAACTAACTTTCGTTTAAAGTTGTGGTCCAGCGCGAACGAAAAGTCTTTAGTTCGATCCTCAGAGGAATGATGTGGTGTCGGGGGTGTTAGCCTGATTGTGGGGGAAATATGACATTAATGTCATGAGTAGTTGATGACATTAATGTCATTAGCAGTTGATAAAGTGCCTGACACTATTTCCTGTTGCGTATGCCAGATTTTGAAGCATTGCCAGACATGCCAACGCGGTTATGAGGGCTGATTTTGTTGATTTTATTTGTCTTCTTTATTCTTAATTGTATGTTGGACGTGATTTTCTCCAACTCAGTTAAATATTACGTGCCACCATTTAGGCCGTTGACTCGTATCTGAGCCTGCTTTCTGGACAAGGGTTCGAACACGGAACTTTCCGCTTTAGTACAAATGAGCTTTACCGACCCAACAACGCCGATCCGGTTTTTGTTTATGAAGTTAAAACAATGAGATGCATGGAATAAATGCGTGAAGTTTATTCCACGTTTTCCACCCGGGTCGATCTGCTAGGTATCGCCATTGAGCCTTGAAGTCTTATAGCACTTAGAGAATCATGCCATAGTCTACACCAAAACAACATAAAACACAATGCATTCACCCGAAGTCGATTTAATTTTAAGATCTAGAGTAGTTTAGTATGGCTAACCCCTAAACGCCACCACAACTGATAAAACGCTTTGAGCTGTTAAATAATGAAATATACCTCTTTAAAACGGCCTTAACAAACGGCCAATGACAAAAAGCCTCTGACAAAACGGCCTGGACGAGTCTATAGCGGGGGTATATTTTATCATTTACTCATCGTTCCACTGTAGTCTGATCTTTCTTAACATGTTCATTTTGATTTATTATGATACGGCAATATTAACCTACACAGTTTACAATACGTCACTACGTCAAAGGGGGGATGAATCTATAAAAGAAGGCGCATCAAAGTCCGACAATCCGTACACACACCATCCTTCGAATTCCTCCCCTTGCAATAAAAAGAAAACCCGAGTTCGCGCATTCCCGTTCTCCACAATCTAGTTCACACGAACAACTGGTAGGCCTACATCAATTTAAAACTAATTTCGATAACAGCTTTCGAGAAAAAAAAATCCAATCTCTAAAAACGTAGACATCAGAATGGAGATCAGAAAGAACAAAGATATCGCAGCAGAAATAAAACGAAAAGACGGCAAATAAATAGCGAATTTTTATAGCCGTTTTTTTTATGGTTATCAATGCTTTGATTTCATAAGTATTTATTATTAGAGCGGGTTTCCCCTAAAGCATAGGACTAAACATACTTATTTTTACAGGTGTGTGTTGGAGGGTTATAGAAAATTGAGGGTGGGGTGTATGGGTTTGTGATCTATAACACCTTGGTGTTCTAGGTGTCTGACTAAGTTCCACCTGTAATTGTCCAACAAGAGCTCTTCAGACGGACAGGACTTTAAGCGGGAATTCTGCAAGTCGTCTGGGAGAGAGTGTTCTCGAGTATATAGTTGTTGCTGTTCTTTGTTAAGATTAAACGTTCTGTTGTCTGCG